CTCTCCGGCCACCCCCCTCCCTTCCAGACTTTATTGCAAAACCTTCTCACCCAATCCTCCAACTCTTCCCCCCCGTGCTTCCACACCTCACTCGGAATACCATCCACCCCTGCCGCCTTTCCTTTTTTCAATTTCTTTAGGGTCCTCACTTCCTCCTTACTTATTTCCTCCTCGCCTCCCTCACCCTCCCGCCTCATTTCCTTTCCTCCTTTGACAACCCTGCTTTCCATCCCCCCGAGCAGCCTCATGAAATGTTCCTTCCACTCCGCCATCTCTATCCCTTCCATCACTTTCCTCCTCTTCCTCCTCTCTCTATTAACTATCTCCCACACTTCACTTTCTCTGCTCACTTCCGCCGCCCTTTTTTCCCACCTCTCGTTCTCCTCCTTCTTTTTCCTCTTGCACAGCTCTCTGAACTCTTGCTTCGTTTTTTTGTATTCTTCTGCCCTCCCACCCTTCCTTTTCCACCTCCTCAATTCCCCTCTTGCCTCCCTCTTTTTCTCCAGACACTCTATATCCCACCAGCCCATTTTTCTCTTTTCCTTCTTATTCAGCTCCTCCTCCGTTTCTTTCATTGCTCCCTTCACCCTCCCCTCCACCTCCTCTTATTCCTCTTCTAGCCCCCTCTCCCCCAGCTCCACCCCTCTAGCTTCCGCTTGAACATTTCTTTCCCTTCTTTGTTCCATACCCTCCTCCATACTCTTTCTCCAACTTTGTGCCCTTTCCCGCTTCTCCACTCTCCTTTCAGCCATACTTCCACCGGTTGGTGGTCGGAGTCCACCCTGTCCCCTATCCTCATCTTTTCTACTCTGTCCTTTGTCTCTCCCTCCCCAATTATATAATCAATCACTGTGCTCCCCCTTCCCCCGATATATGTAAACTCTCCCTCTTCGTCTCCTCTTGTGTTCCCGTTGAAGATGCACCACCCTCTTTCCCCCAGAAAGTCCAGCACCAGCCTACCCTCCCTATTAATAGTCCGGTCCTTTGATCGTCTCTCTCCTTGCCCCCCTCTCCCTTTCTCCCCTTCTATTCCTTCCAACTCACCTCCTTCCTCCCCTGTTCTCGCGTTGAAGTCCCCTCCCATCAACACTCTAACTCCCGCCTCTTTGCTCTCCACCCACCTTTCCAGCCCCCTCAAGGCCTTCTCCATGCCTTCTCCAACGTAGACTCCCATTATCCTCTATCTCTCCTCCCCCACCCTCACCCTGCCCGTCATGATCCCCTCTCCTGCCCCCACAATCCTTTCCTCCTTCTCCGCTAACTACTTCTTTATACCCATGACCATTCCTCCCTTCGCCCTTCCCTTCTTGTTCTCTCTCTTCAGCCATGTTTCCAACAGCACCATCACATCCCATTCCTTCAGCCCTATCCAAAACTCACTGTCTTTATTCTATAGCCCGGCCACATTCCAAAAAGTTACGTTCCATTCCCTTCTTCCCTCTTCCTCCCCTTTCCTCTCTCTCTTCTCCCCACCCTCTTTCCTCTTGTCCTGCTTACACTTATTCCTCAACTTGGTAGTGGCATACTCGTTCTCCTCGGGCTGGCTTTCCTTCTGACGAACATTGGGTCCAGTGACGAGCTATTCTGTTCCCTCTTTTTTCTCTCTGCCCTCTTTTTCTCTTCTTCGTTCCCCCCTCCCATTCCTTAAGACCTTCTCCTCCTCATCCCATTTCCAGTATTGCTCATCTATCCATAGCTTTCCGTATCCTATTCTCACCCTCCTTCCTCTTCTCTCCTCCAATCTCGCGTTTTCCTCCAGCTTCCACCTTATCTTTCTCTCTTTCCATGTCCAGTCTTCCAAAATCCTCTCCTTCCTTCCCTTCAGCTCTCTCTTTCTCTTCATGATTTCTTCTCTCTGCTCCTCACTCCTCATTCTTACCATTACCATTTCTCTATCCTTCTCTCTATCCCCGGTCACTCTCTTGATCTCCTCCATGTTTCCTCTCACTCCTATGGCCTTTAGCACCTCCTTCACCGCCTCCCTCCTCCTTCCTTCTTTAACCTCTAGCCCTCTGATTATTACATTCTTTCTCCTCTCCTCCAGTTCCTTCCTTTCCATCCTCCTCTCAAGCTCTCTAATTTTATCTCCTTCTCCTCCTCCCCGACACCCCACCCCTTTTTCCTTCCCCCGTCTTTACCTTTTTCCAGCTCCTCCACCTTCTTTTCCAGCCCTTTTATGGAACTCATCAACTTCTCCTTTTCTTCATTCCATTTCCCCTCTCTCTCCCACCCCTCTCTTCTTAACTCCTCCACCTCTTTCCTCATCAACCTCCCCTGCTCTTTAAAACTTTCCATCATCTCTTCCATCATCTGTCTCAATTCCTCCCTCCACCCTTTCACCTCCTTCAGATCCTTCATCACCTTCTTCATTTCATCCCTCCACCTCCTCATCTCCCCCCTCCACTCTACTCCTCTCCCTCTCCTCCCAACCCACAGCCTCGGCGGACTTCTTAAATTCCTTACCCTCCTTCTCGTCCCTTAGCCCCTGCAGTTCCGCATTCTCTCTTTTCCTCTTTGCCTCCCCATTACACCCGACACTGCTGACACTCCCGCTTCTTGCTCTCTGGCTCACCGCCCCCCCTCTCCTTTCTCATCGTGCCCCATCTTCCCGATCATTCTCTCACTGCCGATTCCCGACTCTCTCACTACCCGTCCGCCACCTATACTCACGCTCTCCTCGTTCGCGGCCGCTCACCGCTCAACTCTCTCCCCTCTTAACTCTTCGAGTGCTCCCTGCCCGACCCGCTCTTGCGTACGTTTTCCTTTCTTAGCGCCTCGCGTGCTCCCTGCCCAACCTGCTCACACACGTACGTTTTCCGAACCCTTTCTATCTCTTATCCTTCTCGCTCGTACCTTCCCTCCACTACCACGCACACTCTCGCTCCTCCATTCTTTCCCTCTCACTCTCTCACTCTCACCAGCACCTTCCAACGTTCTCACACACCGCCGAAAAACTCTGCCCTGTCACCGCGTATAGCTCTCTAACGCACCGGAAATGGAAGTCTTCGTACCTGATGTATTTTGATGTAAACAACTTGTACGGCTGGGCGATGTGTCAGCCACTGCCTTACGCAGATTTTCGATTGGTCAAAGACGTTTCGAATTTCGACTTTAGCGCGATCGCTTCGGATTCGCCCACGGGTTATATTCTCGAAGTCGATTTAGAGTATCCGCAGAATATACACGACGCGCACGTTGACCTACCGTTCTATCCGACGCGCGATAAACCGCCCGGCAAACGGCAGGACAAACTTCTCGCAACTTATCGCTGTACGATAAGAAGCGTTACGTCATCCATTATCGCAACCTACAGTAGTGCACACGGCCATGGCCTTCGCGTCACAAAGATACATCGCGTATTACAATTCGCTCAATCTACGTGGCTCTGCACTTACATCGAGCTCAATACGAAATTTAGAACACTGGCCAAAAATGATTTTGAGACAAATTTATATAAATTGATGAATAACGCGGTTTTCGGGAAAACGATGGAGAACGTTTAAAATCACGTCGACGTAAAATTACTGACAAAGTGGGACGGACGATACGGCACGGAGGCACTGATCTCGAAACCAAATTTTCACAGTAAGAGCGTGTTTTCGGAAAATCTGATAGCCGTTAAACTGCGAAAACTCGAAGTTAAATTTGACAGACCTATTTACGTTGGCATGTGCATTCTCGACGTATCGAAAGTCTGTTTGTATGATGAATTTCATCACGAGTACATGTCTCCTCTGTATGGCGACATGTGTAGAACTATGCACACCGATACGGACAGCCTTATATACCACATCGAGTGCGAGAATGTGTACGAAAACGTGAAACACGATATCGCTAGATTCGACACGAGCGATTACGCGACCAACAACGCGTACGGTATAACGCTCGAGAACAAAAAAGTGCCGGGCTTGATGAAGGACGAGAATAACGGTGCGATCATGACCGAATTCGTTGGACTCAGGGTGAAGATGTACACGTTGAGAGTGGATGGTAAGAAAGACTGTAAAAAAGCGACAGGTATCAAGAGCAACGTCGTAGCGTGTACTATAACGTTCAACGATTACACATGTCTGCGAGACGAAATTGAAATGATGCGATAGCAGTCCTGTATACGATCGAAGTCGCACGAGGTGTACACCGTGTCCGAAACAAAAATCGCTCTGAGTCCGTACGACGATAAGCGATACGTTATACCAGATTCGACCGATACATTACCGTGGGGACATTACCGAATACCTTTGTAACGTATGTATGTATGTATGTATGTATGCATGTATGTATGCATGTATGTAATAGTATAACGTATGCAGTAGTATATGTAACATAATATATAATAGAGCAGTATAACGTATATATGTCGTATAACGTACGAATGTATGAATGTAGTATAACGTAACGTATTGTAAGTATTATATTACAGTATTATATTACATTGGAAAAAATATCAATAAAGATATTACATGTGTATTTCATATTTTTTACGTATTTTATATGTATTTCATATTTCAAACATTTTACATGTATTACATATTACATATTACATATTGCATATTTTTTTATGTTAAGAATAAAAATACAGTTTAAACGAATTAAATAACATTGTCCTTGTGTATCCATGAGTTGTGCGATCCATCGAATCCCAGCCATTTTACGTAAACCTCATCACCCCTCTTGCGCAGTACTTTCTGCACGAGATACACGTCCAGATAAGTCGCGCGATGCAACTCGTGCTGGTAGAACACCCCAGCGACGGATTTTCCGCGATAGTTCTCGAGTAGATAAGTTACGGGATCGGTACGCTGCACTTTAACGATCTTAAACACCTCGGTGGTCCAATTCGGTGTGTAGCCTTTCTCGAAAATTGTTTTGTATTTGCTAACGCGCACCGAGTTACCCACTTTGAATTTTGCCGGACCCGCGATCTTTATCGCGCTGTACACCGTAGCCAAGAGTCTATCGGCTTTCGCGGGGGTAACGTCGAAGGGTCGCATGCCGATGGTTCAATGCTTGCGCGCGTTGTAATCCGACACGAGTCGCGGCAACGCGTCGACCCACTTGTAATTTCCGTTGAGCGTAAACATCTTCCACATGTTGTTCTTTAACGTACGATTGAATCGCTCGACGACCTTCAACACCGAATACGTGGAATAATGATTGATGTCGTGTTTTCTCACAAGACGTTGCTCGTCGGTGTTGTAAAATTCCTTCCCCATGTCGGTTTGTAGATTATTAGGGCACCTCCCGCTGCGTCGAATTATCTCAGCGATAGCGTCGGCTGTCTCGCTGCCGCCTTTACCTTTGAGCGGCACGGCCCACGCGTACTTGACATCGATGACGGTGAGTATGTAGTGGTAGCCTCCGTTGAAACGCGAGTACGGACACATCTCGACGATGTCAGCCTGCCACAGATCGTCATACCCTCGCACTATGACGTGTCTGCGGGGAAAATTTCTTCTTGTTGGTGCGCGCAATTCGTCCACCAACCGTCGCTTTTCGATATTTTTATCCGCATCGGTCGATTTTAACGGTCTCATGTTTCGTTGTTGCTGTTTCTGCTTCTAGTGCATTGTTCGTAGCAGTTTTTGAACAGTTCATAACCGCTTCTGAACAGTTCGTAACCGCTTCTGAACCATTCGTGAATCGTTCGTTGTCGTTCGTCGTCGTCAGTTAACTGCTTTTTACCACTCATCGTCGTCGTCGTCGTCGACGTTCTTTAGCCGTTTGTAGCCTTTCCTGTCTCCGCGTAGTTCGCAGCTGTTTCTAAACCGCTCGTAATCATTTCTGAGCTGTTTTTTAACCGTTCGACAACCGTTCTTGAACCGTTAGACAGCCGTCCGACAACCGTTCTCGAATCGTTTGTTGCTGTTTCTTGTCGTCGTTAATGAACCGTTGCTTCTCTTCACTCGTCGCCTTTCGATAGTCGTTTCTGTTGAACCGTTTGTCCATTGTTGTTCGTTGTCGCGTCTGATTCAACGATATTCGCACGCCGAAGCGCATTTATCGCAGTTTGTAACGCTTGCAGATCTTTCTCGAACGCAGTCAGCTTCTCGTCTGACTCTTTTCGTTGATTGTTCAACATTTTAAAGAATTGATTAACGTATAGTTTGTTAACCGCGTCACCGTCAGTCTCAGGTTGCGCTACGCGACTAATCTTGCGCGACCTTGCGTTAAAGTCCGTGGCGGTGCGACACAGAGCGTTATGGCGCACGAAATTTCTCATTAATCCGCTCCACCGATGGTACGAAATGGCATTTGTCGCGTCTCCGCTGTGCTCGAACAATCCAAATTTGTTGATCGGCATTTCAACGCTGATTGAACGGATCGCTGTCGCACCGTTTAATTTATAATAAGCCCGGCTTCGCGAAGTTCCTCGATGATCGACATGATCTCGTTGTCGTGGGCATTGTTGCCAGCTTGACGCAAAGCGTCGAGCAATCGCAGACGATCCACCAGCTCGTTGGGGACATCCCAGTGCACGTAGTCGATCTTATTATCGGTTAGCGTCATTGCGCGAGGTGCAAATAATCCCTTTCCGGATTTTTTCTTCTTAGATCCGGTCGACATCAACGATGAGATTACATATTGATACTTGTACCCCACGTTGCCCTTTACTCGCCCGCGAGGATAGTGTTTGAATTTATGAGCACTCGTTGCCAACAGTAAAGTATCCGTTTATGAATTTCTCGTACTCTTCAGCAGGCATTTTTTCGCTAAGACGTCGCATGTCTTGTAGGTACAGGTGAGCCGATTTGGCGTAGAGAAAATGACCTGCGGCATGGAAATAGGGCAACATTTTCTGAATCGTGTCGAGATGCAAATTCCAATTGCCGGATCGTTCAGCCTGTATGAACTGTTTTACTAAGGTAACCATACAATGGTATTGAACCCATAGCTTCGCGGTAAGACTGATTTGTTCAACTTCTCGCAATTTTTTGGCTAATTTTCATTCAACGTTTTGAATGAGTTCACTTTCACTTGCTTGCAATATATCGGATCTATCAATGCCTTCAATGAAGTAATCCATGACATCCCGTTCTTCATCGCTGAATTCCGTTAAATCAAATAGAACTTTTGTCAAAGCCAAATGCGTTCAGAAGTGGGCGCGAATCGCTCATGAATAAGCATGACCGGAAAGAATTTTCTCAACGCAATTTTAAATCAAATTAAATAGTTGTTCAATGCTACTCCCTGACATTATGTTCCCAATTGCTCCCAAGTAGCTCCCATTAGTAAGTGAAATCCTCCAAGTCTTACGACCACATTTTTGAAATCGTCTTTCATAGCCTCAGCGATATCTTTTGCCTTCCAATACAGCGGCTGATCGAATGTTACGATGCATGTCTGTTGATGGCTTTGCGTGCATCTTTTTTGGGCCTCCATGAGCGATGTATAAATTGTGTCATAATCTGACAGAGGTGCATTTATTCGTAAGCGATGATATTCACTATCAGCTGTCACTTGCTCCATAAACCCGTTCCAGCCCGGAATTTCTGGGCGGCATGACAATTTTCCGTATAGCCATATTACGTCAGGTGTAGTTAGTATAATATCTGATGATAGTTGACGAAGAGCATCGATGTCTGCAACGTTGATTGTCAGCAATCTTGCTGATTTCTGTTTGACATAGCTGAGTACTTCAATTCTTCCTAACTGAGCAATGTCTGCAGCTGATGTGTCTTCAAAAGTGCGCGAAACGGCTTTTTTCTGGTTCGATACCTGTGTTGGGTGTGACGCAATGTATCCCCTCCCTCATTGCGCGGAAGGTTCCGTGGCCGTCGATTGTGTTGATATTAAAATCTGCATTATCGAAGACAAATTGACAAAACGAATTCTCCAACACGTTGCTCTGAGGTCGGCTTATATTTGCACGTTCAAAATTTTGAATCTCAAAGTACGAAACAGAAAATCCCAAAGCTGATAATGTTTATGAGATTTCTGGACCCGAATTTTTTGTACAAATAAGTTCCGACTCCTGTTTGCAAAGGAGATAGAAAAGAGCGTGAGCGCACGGCTGTTATTATTGCATGAGCAATAGAGATGCATTTTTTTTGCCACATTTCTTCACAACCACGCTTATCTTTAGTGATGATTTCCGAAAGCAAACATTGTAAAGATGCAGGAACATCATCGCGAGCATTTTTCATGAAACCATCCGACGGGGGATAACACTCGGTTTCGTAAACAGTAGATCTTATGTCCGCGCGGATTATTGCTGCAGCTTCTCGAAGGACTCGCAGTTTTTCTTGTCGCGGATCGGTTTCTTTTTCTTCATACCACCTGTCCGCGAGTAATTTGTAACCAATATTTCTGAAGCAAATTATGCACTCACGATTACGTTGGTCTATAATAAAAATATCCTCTTCGAACTTTTGCTGCAACTTCTTCTTAACGGTTTTCACGTCTAGTTTATAATTCCCTTCAATTGTCGCCATCAAATCGCTCAATTTAAACTGACACTCGTTAGAATTCTTAAGTAGGAATGAATAAATGTATTCCATACAATCGTCTACTTTGCCAGTACGTCGTCCCTTTCCAACCTTCGGAGTTGCTTCACGGAAAACACGACCGGCACATGGAGCATGATACCGAGCTCTCGCGGCAACGAGATCAGGTATGTACTTGATTCGTTCAAGGATTTTACGCGCAAATTCATCTTGACGGTGTTCAAGAATATTCTTAACAGTCTCTTTTGTCGTCTGACGTAGTACTGAACGAATATTTATTCGTCAATCAGAACGTACTTTACTCGATTGTTCACAGATTTTTTCAGCACAAAATAAGCAATTATTTTTTAAGTCAAAAGTAGTCACTTCAGGCACAACTACTGGCGGTTGTTGTTCGACTTCATTAGCAGCAGATGTACTTCGCCTGGCAGCTGCAGCAGACGCTCTTACATCTGCATACTTACGGCACATTGAATGCACGCGAATTTCAGTAACCGTTTCCAGTAAACGTTGATTTTCTACGTCCCCTCTTGTCATGCTTGCAGTTAACAGACTTTGTACTGCTCTTGCTTTCGCAACATAAATATCACTACTGAGAGTTTTTTTTGCATATAAAACAGTTTTCCATCTTTACTTTAAAAATTCTACAATCACAAAATCACTTCGAAATATCCGTCCGTTTGCTGTCGCACGACGCCACAACTGAACTAATCGATACACGTGATTCAACGTGATTCAACACACAGACACACACGAACGCGCGGCATCATAGATCTACATCGCGCGCGTTCTGCGTGTAGGCTCGCGCCGACCTGGCGACTTTGCGTCGCTCTGTAGAGCGTTCTTTTCAACGAAATGCAACGAGTCACCCATCACATTAAAGATCTTTAAAAATGCTGCAAGTTTTATAAGAATAATTCTTTCGATAAACGTAGTAGGAGACGAGATAGAAGCGATTTAAGATCGATTACCTATTTATTTTCGTCCTTTTCGTCAAATATGTCGGCAAATATCCATCGTAGGAAAAAAAGTCATATAACATAAATTGTAGAGCGCAAAAAAAGCTACAAATTGGTCACCTTACTTTCTCTGTAACTTTTTAGGGAGCCGAGTTATTGCAAAAAAACCGATTTTTTTTGTTTTTTTAAGATGGCGGAAAATCCTTCGCATATTTTGTCCCACCAACTTAGAGTTAAGCTTTTCTACATGCTCCTAACACCCCCTAAAAGGAATTTTGAATATTTAATTTTTTTCCAGGTAAAATGACAATTTGACTACAGCTCGTCGGTATGACAGGAATTATAACCTGATTCCTGTCAACTTTTACATTTAATATCTCGCTTTGCAGGGCAGAGCGACACTTTTTTCTGCCAGATTTGGTCGTTTTGTGCAAAAACGCGTCGATTAAGGAGATTCTAAAGCGAAGGCCGAACTTCCTCGACGTCGGTTATGTCAACTAAAGCAAAGGCCGAACTCCGACGCGCACGTAAGGTGGTGCCACTGGTGGTGACAACGCGAAACTCCGTACACGTACACACACCACTGAATTGCTCACACGGACGCACGGTGGTAGAAAGACATATGCTATAGACGCGGTAACGCCGCGCGGCGTTGCCGCGTCTATGGATTTTAGCAATACGGCTTGAACCTGAAAATGCTTTCTGGCCGTCCGTAGCAGAAGGCAGTAACGTATCAAGGCTAATAAGCACCCGCTTTTTATAAATTACATATATTCTTATGCACACATGTACGTATATATATATTGTTACGCCCGTGCTGTCCTCGTGTCGCGCGTATATGCGAGTCGCCCGTTATTTAATGTCGCGTCGCGAACCGTCCTTAGCGACGGATGCTGTTTACTAATATTGATTGCGAGATGCTCAATTAACTATTGATTTTCCTGTTATACTTGATGTAGAGATTTACTCTGGGACGCGTCTCGTTCGGACGTATCGTCCCGAGCTCCTCTATTATATCGAGAGTCGTAATAAAGAGCTACTGATTTCTAAACGAGTCATCTTATTTGTGCGAGAGTGTCGTGACACGCGCCGCGAGTGTGAAAGTGAGAAATTGTGTGGCGAACGCTCGTC